TAGACGACGGAGGCGACGTATTGCGATAAACTATAGTATGTATTTGTTATGTAAACACAGCGCTATCGCCTATCACATACCAATGGATTCAAGGGCCCACGTTTAGAGAAGAGAAAGAAAAACTGCGGCAGAACAAACACAAATGCCAAATAATAATAATTGTGTACTAGGCCGTCAGAATTGGCCTCAACTTTCGGGTTCCAGTAACAATAGAGGAAGTACGAATAATCAGACAAGGAATGAGGACAGCGATAGAAGTAACAACAATAACAACAACGACTTACAACAAAGTAGACGACGGAGGCGACGTATTGCGATAAACTATAGTATGTATTTGTTATGTAAACACAGCGCTATCGCCTATCACATACCAATGCCTTCAAGGGCCCACGTTTAGAGAAGAGAAAGAAAAACTGCGGCAGAACAAACACAAATGCCAAATAATAATAATTGTGTACTAGGCCGTCAGAATTGGCCTCAACTTTCGGCTTCCAGTAACAATAGAGGAAGTACGAATAATCAGACGAGGAATGAGGACAGCGATAGAAGTAACAACAATAACAACAACGACTTTCAACAATGTAGACGACGGAGGCGACGACGTTACGATCAAGGCTGTGAACAACGGTGCCGCTGGATGTAGCTCTACGACGACAAAAAAAAGGAATTCTACAAAACGTTCTACTAAAGTCAAATATCAATCTACCGAATGCGACAGTTCTAAAGGAAATCGTAAATTACACAATGGTATAGAATGTTTTGGTACCGTAATCGGGGATTCGGAAAAACTTAAAGTTGTACAAAAGATTTCGTTTTGCGCGGCAAGGCTTAATACTTGTGATTTGGTCATTGGTGATCCTCAACCTAACCTTACCTTAGGTAAAGCATCCATTTAGAAAGGACCGTATAGCCATTAGATCCCACGTCAGCGGGGCACTTTTAGATTCTGGCCTGAATGATGCATGAGCATATTGCATAAATGTAGGTACCTACCTATAAGTTTTGTTCATGTCTTTCATTATTTTTAGGAACTCAAGTCCTTTTAAAATTATTTTATTTCATTTTATGGTCACTAATCACCAAAAATAAGAGATTACAATTTTAAAAAAGGTCGCTTTTTTGTCACATGTATTATTTTCCATCGATTATATGTATTGCGATAAACTATAGTATGTATTTGTTATGTAAACACAGCGCTATCGCCTATCACATACCAATGCCTTCAAGGGCCCACGTTTAGAGAAGAGAAAGAAAAACTGCGGCAGAACAAACATAAATGCCAAATAATAATAATTGTGTACTAGGCCGTCAGAATTGGCCTCAACTTTCGGGTTCCAGTAACAATAGAGGAAGTACGAATAATCAGACGAGGAATGAGGACAGCGATAGAAGTAACAACAATAACAACAACGACTTTCAACAATGTAGACGACGGAGGCGACGTATTGCGATAAACTATAGTATGTATTTGTTATGTAAACACAGCGCTATCGCCTATCACATACCAATGCCTTCAAGGGCCCACGTTTAGAGAAGAGAAAGAAAAACTGCGGCAGAACAAACACAAATGCCAAATAATAATAATTGTGTACTAGGCCGTCAGAATTGGCCTCAACTTTCGGCTTCCAGTAACAATAGAGGAAGTACGAATAATCAGACGAGGAATGAGGACAGCGATAGAAGTAACAACAATAACAACAACGACTTACAACAAAGTAGACGACGGAGGCGACGTATTGCGATAAACTATAGTATGTATTTGTTATGTAAACACAGCGCTATCGCCTATCACATACCAATGGATTCAAGGGCCCACGTTTAGAGAAGAGAAAGAAAAACTGCGGCAGAACAAACACAAATGCCAAATAATAATAATTGTGTACTAGGCCGTCAGAATTGGCCTCAACTTTCGGGTTCCAGTAACAATAGAGGAAGTACGAATAATCAGACGAGGAATGAGGACAGCGATAGAAGTAACAACAATAACAACAACGACTTACAACAAAGTAGACGACGGAGGCGACGTATTGCGATAAACTATAGTATGTATTTGTTATGTAAACACAGCGCTATCGCCTATCACATACCAATGCCTTCAAGGGCCCACGTTTAGAGAAGAGAAAGAAAAACTGCGGCAGAACAAACACAAATGCCAAATAATAATAATTGTGTACTAGGCCGTCAGAATTGGCCTCAACTTTCGGGTTCCAGTAACAATAGAGGAAGTACGAATAATCAGACGAGGAATGAGGACAGCGATAGAAGTAACAACAATAACAACAACGACTTACAACAAAGTAGACGACGGAGGCGACGTATTGCGATAAACTATAGTATGTATTTGTTATGTAAACACAGCGCTATCGCCTATCACATACCAATGCCTTCAAGGGCCCACGTTTAGAGAAGAGAAAGAAAAAATGCGGCAGAACAAACACAAATGCCAAATAATAATAATTGTGTACTAGGCCGTCAGAATTGGCCTCAACTTTCGGCTTCCAGTAACAATAGAGGAAGTACGAATAATCAGACGAGGAATGAGGACAGCGATAGAAGTAACAACAATAACAACAACGACTTTCAACAATGTAGACGACGGAGGCGACGACGTTACGATCAAAGCTGTGAACAACGGTGCCGCTGGATGTAGCTCTACGACGACAAAAAAAAGGAATTCTACAAAACGTTCTACTAAAGTCAAATATCAATCTACCGAATGCGACAGTTCTAAAGGAAATCGTAAATTACACAATGGTATAGAATGTTTTGGTACCGTAATCGGGGATTCGGAAAAACTTAAAGTTGTACAAAAGATTTCGTTTTGCGCGGCAAGGCTTAATACTTGTGATTTGGTCATTGGTGATCCTCAACCTAACCTTACCTTAGGTAAAGCATCCATTTAGAAAGGACCGTATAGCCATTAGATCCCACGTCAGCGGGGCACTTTTAGATTCTGGCCTGAATGATGCATGAGCATATTGCATAAATGTAGGTACCTACCTATAAGTTTTGTTCATGCCTTTCATTATTTTTAGGAACTCAAGTCCTTTTAAAATTATTTTATTTCATTTTATGGTCACTAATCACCAAAAATAAGAGATTACAATTTTAAAAAAGGTCGCTTTTTTGTCACATGTATTATTTTCCATCGATTATATGTATTGCGATAAACTATAGTATGTATTTGTTATGTAAACACAGCGCTATCGCCTATCACATACCAATGCCTTCAAGGGCCCACGTTTAGAGAAGAGAAAGAAAAACTGCGGCAGAACAAACATAAATGCCAAATAATAATAATTGTGTACTAGGCCGTCAGAATTGGCCTCAACTTTCGGGTTCCAGTAACAATAGAGGAAGTACGAATAATCAGACGAGGAATGAGGACAGCGATAGAAGTAACAACAATAACAACAACGACTTTCAACAATGTAGACGACGGAGGCGACGTATTGCGATAAACTATAGTATGTATTTGTTATGTAAACACAGCGCTATCGCCTATCACATACCAATGCCTTCAAGGGCCCACGTTTAGAGAAGAGAAAGAAAAACTGCGGCAGAACAAACACAAATGCCAAATAATAATAATTGTGTACTAGGCCGTCAGAATTGGCCTCAACTTTCGGCTTCCAGTAACAATAGAGGAAGTACGAATAATCAGACGAGGAATGAGGACAGCGATAGAAGTAACAACAATAACAACAACGACTTTCAACAATGTAGACGACGGAGGCGACGACGTTACGGTCAAAGCTGTGAACAACGGTGCCGCTGGATGTAGCACTACGACGCCAAAAAAAAGGAATTCTACAAAACGTTCTACGAAAATCAAATATCAATTTATCGAATGCGACATTTCTAAAGAAAATCGTAAATTACTCAATGGTATAGAATGTTTTGGTACCGTAATCGAGGATTCGGAAAAACATAAAGTTGTACAAAAGTTTTCGTTTTGCGCGGCAAGGCGTATTACTTGTGATTTGGTCATTGGTGATTCTCAACCTAACCTAACCTTAGGTAAAGCATCCATTTAGAAAGGACCGTATAGCCATTAGATCCCACGTCAGCGGGACACTTTAAGATTCTGAGCGGAATGATGCATGAGCATATTGCATAATATGTAGGTACCTACCTATAAGTTTTGTTCATGTCTTTCATTATTTTTAGGAACTCATGTCCTTTTAAAATTATTTTATTTCATTTTATGGTCACTAATCACCAAAAATAAGAGATTACAATTTTAAAAAAGGTCGCTTTTTTGTCACATGTATTATTTTCCATCGATTATATGTATTGCGATAAACTAAAGTATGTATTTGTTATGTAAACACACCGCTATCGCCTATAACATACCAATGCCTTCAAGGGCCCACGTTTAGAGAAGAGAAAGAAAAACTGCGGCAGAACAAACATAAATGCCAAATAATAATAATTGTGTACTAGGCCGTCAGAATTGGCCTCAACTTTCGGCTTCCAGTAACAATAGAGGAAGTACGAATAATCAGACGAGGAATGAGGACAGCGATAGAAGTAACAACAATAACAACAACGACTTACAACAAAGTAGACGACGGAGGCGACGTATTGCGATAAACTATAGTATGTATTTGTTATGTAAACACAGCGCTATCGCCTATCACATACCAATGCCTTCAAGGGCCCACGTTTAGAGAAGAGAAAGAAAAACTGCGGCAGAACAAACATAAATGCCATATAATAATAATTGTGTACTAGGCCGTCAGAATTGGCCTCAACTTTCGGCTTCCAGTAACAATAGAGGAAGTACGAATAATCAGACGAGGAATGAGGACAGCGATAGAAGTAACAACAATAACAACAACGACTTACAACAAAGTAGACGACGGAGGCGACGTATTGCGATAAACTATAGTATGTATTTGTTATGTAAACACAGCGCTATCGCCTATCACATACCAATGCCTTCAAGGGCCCACGTTTAGAGAAGAGAAAGAAAAACTGCGGCAGAACAAACACAAATGCCAAATAATAATAATTGTGTACTAGGCCGTCAGAATTGGCCTCAACTTTCGGCTTCCAGTAACAATAGAGGAAGTACGAATAATCAGACGAGGAATGAGGACAGCGATAGAAGTAACAACAATAACAACAACGACTTTCAACAATGTAGACGACGGAGGCGAGGACGTTACGATCAAAGCTGTGACAACGGTGCCGCTGGATGTAGCACTACGACGACAAAAAAAAAGAATTCTACAAAACCTTCTACGAAAGTCAAATATCAATCTATCGAATGCGCCAGTTCTAAAGGAAATCGTAAATTACACAATGGTATAGAATGTTTTGGTACCGTAATCGGGGATTCGGAAAAACTTAAAGTTGTACAAAAGTTTTCGTTTTGCGCAGCAAGGCGTATTACTTGTGATTTGGTCATTGGTGATCCTCAACCTAACCTAACCTTAGTTAAAGCATCCATTTAGAAAGGACCGTATGGCCATTAGATCCCACGTCGTCGGGACACTTTTAGATTCTGAGCGGAATGATGCATGAGCATATTGCATAATATGTAGGTACCTACCTATAAGTTTTGTTCATGTCTTTCATTATTTTAAAGAACTCATGTCCCATTAAAATTATTTTATTTCATTTTATGGTCACTAATCACCAAAAATAAGAGATTACAATTTTAAAAAAGGTCACTTTTTTGTCACATGTATTATTTTCCATCGATTATATGTATTGCGATAAACTATAGTATGTATTTGTTATGTAAACACACCGCTATCGCCTTTCACATACCAATGCCTTCAAGGGTGCACGTTTAGAGAAGAGAAAGAAAAACTGCGGCAGAACAAACATAAATGCCAAATAATAATAATTGTGTACTAGGCCGTCAGAATTGGCCTCAACTTTCGGCTTCCAGTAACAATAGAGGAAGTACGAATAATCAGACGAGGAATGAGGACAGCGATAGAAGTGACAACAATAACAACAACGACTTACAACAAAGTAGACGACGGAGGTGACGTATTGCGATAAACTATAGTATGTATTTGTTATGTAAACACAGCGCTATCGCCTATCACATACCAATGCCTTCAAGGGCCCACGTTTAGAGAAGAGAAAGAAAAACTGCGGCAGAACAAACATAAATGCCAAATAATAATAATTGTGTACTAGGCCGCCAGAATTGGCCTCAACTTTCGGCTTCCAGTAACAATAGAGGAAGTACGAATAATCAGACGAGGAATGAGGACAGCGATAGAAGTAACAACAATAACAACAACGACTTACAACAAAGTAGATGACCCTGCCTCTTTAAAATGTAAAGTAGCTGAATTGATTTAGTCTTTCCCCGACACACGTATCGTTCGCTAGTTCGCTCTGAATTTAAAAGTTTTCTTAGTGTTTTATATATATTTTTTTTTTTATTGCAAGTGCTAATTTTTTTTCCTATACCAGTTTAAAAATGTTTAACAAAATAATGTTTTTCATTTATTATTTCATAAATCCCATTTGGATTCATGCTAAAGATGATGATGACATCATTTTGTCTCGCGAAGACCTCATAAGGATACATGGAGAATGTTTTCAGCAAGGGTAAGCTAAAATTGTTATTATATTTTATCATTTTCTACATATTAAAATTTTTGTAGCGAGATAAACAACGACGATGTTATTGAAATTAATTCGATTTCGTTACGTGACCTTTATGAGGAATATTCGGTGGTGCGAGACCGTAACACAGGATTCAATGAATGGGCAACACGTGCGGCATTAGTTTCCCGAGATTTACGTTTAGAGTTTAATGTGTTGGGCGTAATAATGGTCGATCATTTCACAGACAATTCAATTCCTATAGATGAATTCATAGTAAGTTTAAACATAGAAAAATATTAATTAAAATGAATAGATTTACTAACCACTTAAAACTTGTAGGTACAGATATCATTTCAAGACTTATTTCCATTGATTAGAACAATTACTGAACATTATACACAATACTATATATTTTTTCCAATACCGATCACAGGGAAGAACGATCTATTACCTGGACGAGACCTGGGTCAACGCAGGTGACTGCAACGACAGAATATGGCAGGACAGAACTGTTGCGTCCCACAGAGACGCCTACGTGTCCGGTCTATCAATTGGCGCACCAAATCCAACTGCAAAAGGGAAACGTCTGATTGTTGTACATATTGGGTCAGAGGAGGGTTTTGTCGACGGCGGCTTATTGGTATTTGAATCCAAAAAAGGCTCGGCAGATTATCATGAAGAAATGAACGGCGATTTTTTTTTCGACTGGTTGAAAGGCGTCATTCCATTAGTAAAAGACAATTCTGTCATAGTAATGGACAATGTGCCTTATCACTCAGTAAAAACTGAAAAATGCTTAACATTAGGATGGAGAAAAAATGAAATTGAAAATTGGCTGGAAGAAAAAGGTGAACAATTCGAAAGGCCGATTAACAAGGTACGGCTCATGGACATCGTGAAACGCATTAAACCGCGGTACAATACATACGTTGTTGACGAATACGTGAAGAAGAACAATATGACGGTATTAAGGACGCCACCGTATCATTGCGAAGTCAACCCCATCGAACTAGCGTGGTCGTCCGTAAAAAGGTACGTGAAGTCAAACAATTTCACATTTAAACTTCCGGACGTAAGACAACTATTAATCGAATGTGTCAATAACTGCACACCCGAAATGTGGAAGAACTTTGTACAACACGTCATTAAAATAGAAGACAGGTTCTGGAAAGTCGACTTAACTACCGATGATGTGATGGATAATGACAATCTCCGTGTAATAACAATCATGTATTATATTGCATGTATTTTGTATTTTTTTATGCGAGGAATAAGGACAGCGATAGAAGTAACAACAATAACAACAACGACTTTCAACAATGTAGACGACGGAGGCGACGACGTTACGATCAAAGCTGTGAACAACGGTGCCGCTGGATGTAGCACTACGACGACAAAAAAAAAGAATTCTACAAAACGTTCTACGAAAGTCAAATATCAATCTATCGAATGCGACAGTTCTAAAGGAAGTCGTAAATTACACAATGGTATAGAATGTTTTGGTACCGTAATCGGGGATTCGGAAAAACTTAAAGTTGTACAAAAGTTTTCGTTTTGCGCAGCAAGGCGTATTACTTGTGATTTGGTCATTGGTGATCCTCAACCTAACCTAACCTTAGTTAAAGCATCCATTTAGAAAGGACCGTATGGCCATTAGATCCCACGTCGTCGGGACACTTTTAGATTCTGAGCGGAATGATGCATGAGCATATTGCATAATATGTAGGTACCTACCTATAAGTTTTGTTCATGTCTTTCATTATTTTAAAGAACTCATGTCCCATTAAAATTATTTTATTTCATTTTATGGTCACTAATCACCAAAAATAAGAGATTACAATTTTAAAAAAGGTCGCTTTTTTGTCACATGTATTATTTTCCATCGATTATATGTATTGCGATAAACTATAGTATGTATTTGTTATGTAAACACACCGCTATCGCCTTTCACATACCAATGCCTTCAAGGGCCCACGTTTAGAGAAGACAAAGAAAAACTGCGGCAGAACAAACATAAATGCCAAATAATAGTAATTGTGTACTAGGCCGTCAGAATTGGCCTCAACTTTCGGCTTCCAGTAACAATTGAGGAAGTACGAATAATCAGACGAGGAATGAGGATAGCGATAGAAGTAACAAGAATAACAACAACGACATTCAACAAAGTAGACGACGGAAGCGACGACGTTACTATCAAAGCTGTGAACAACGGTGCCGCTGGATGTAGCACTACGACGACAAAAAAAAGAATTCTACAAAACGTTCTACGAAAGTCAAATATCAATTTATCGAATGCGACATTTCTAAAGGAAATCGTAAATTACACAATGGTATAGAATGTTTTGGTACCGTAATCGGGGATTCGGAAAAACTTAAAGTTGTACAAAAGTTTTCGTTTTGCGCGGCAAGGCGTATTACTTGTGATTTGGTCATTGGTGATCCTCAACCTAACCTTACCTTAGGTAAAGCATCAATTTAGAAAGGACCGTATAGCCATTAGATCCCACGTCAGCGGGACACTTTAAGATTCTGGCCGGAATGATGCATGAGCATATTGCATAAAATGTAGGTACCTACCTATAAGTTTTGTTCATGTCTTTCATTATTTTTAAGAGCTCATGTCCTTTTAAAATTATTTAATATCATTTTATGGTCACTAATCACCAAAAATAAGAGATTACAATTTTAAAAAAGGTCACTTTTTTGTCACATGTATTATTTTCCATCGATTATATGTATTGCGATAAACTATAGTATGTATTTGTTATGTAAACACACCGCTATCGCCTTTCACATACCAATGCCTTCAAGGGCCCACGTTTAGAGAAGAGAAAGAAAAACTGCGGCAGAACAAACATAAATGCCAAATAATAATAATTGTGTACTAGGCCGTCAGAATTGGCCTCAACTTTCGGCTTCCAGTAACAATTGAGGAAGTACGAATAATCAGACGAGGAATGAGGATAGCGATAGAAGTAACAAGAATAACAACAACGACATTCAACAAAGTAGACGACGGAGGCGACGACGTTACTATCAAAGCTGTGAACAACGGTGCCGCTGGATGTAGCACTACGACGACAAAAAAAAAGAATTCTACAAAACGTTCTACGAAAGTCAAATATCAATTTATCGAATGCGACATTTCTAAAGGAAATCGTAAATTACACAATGGTATAGAATGTTTTGGTACCGTAATCGGGGATTCGGAAAAACTTAAAGTTGTACAAAAGTTTTCGTTTTGCGCGGCAAGGCGTATTACTTGTGATTTGGTCATTGGTGATCCTCAACCTAACCTTACCTTAGGTAAAGCATCAATTTAGAAAGGACCGTATAGCCATTAGATCCCACGTCAGCGGGACACTTTAAGATTCTGGCCGGAATGATGCATGAGCATATTGCATAAAATGTAGGTACCTACCTATAAGTTTTGTTCATGTCTTTCATTATTTTTAAGAGCTCATGTCCTTTTAAAATTATTTAATATCATTTTATGGTCACTAATCACCAAAAATAAGAGATTACAATTTTAAAAAAGGTCACTTTTTTGTCACATGTATTATTTTCCATCGATTATATGTATTGCGATAAACTATAGTATGTATTTGTTATGTAAACACACCGCTATCGCCTTTCACATACCAATGCCTTCAAGGGCCCACGTTTAGAGAAGACAAAGAAAAACTGCGGTAGAACAAACATAAATGCCAAATAATAGTAATTGTGTACTAGGCCGTCAGAATTGGCCTCAACTTTCGGCTTCCAGTAACAATTGAGGAAGTACGAATAATCAGACGAGGAATGAGGATAGCGATAGAAGTAACAAGAATAACAACAACGACATTCAACAAAGTAGACGACGGAGGCGACGACGTTACTATCAAAGCTGTGAACAACGGTGCCGCTGGATGTAGCACTACGACGACAAAAAAAAAGAATTCTACAAAACGTTCTACGAAAGTCAAATATCAATTTATCGAATGCGACATTTCTAAAGGAAATCGTAAATTACACAATGGTATAGAATGTTTTGGTACCGTAATCGGGGATTCGGAAAAACTTAAAGTTGTACAAAAGTTTTCGTTTTGCGCGGCAAGGCGTATTACTTGTGATTTGGTCATTGGTGATCCTCAACCTAACCTTACCTTAGGTAAAGCATCCATTTAGAAAGGACCGTATAGCCATTAGATCCCACGTCAGCGGGACACTTTAAGATTCTGGCCGGAATGATGCATGAGCATATTGCATAAAATGTAGGTACCTACCTATAAGTTTTGTTCATGTCTTTCATTATTTTTAAGAGCTCATGTCCTTTTAAAATTATTTAATATCATTTTATGGTCACTAATCACCAAAAATAAGAGATTACAATTTTAAAAAAGGTCGCTTTTTTGTCACATGTATTATTTTCCATCGATTATATGTATTGCGATAAACTATAGTATGTATTTGTTATGTAAACACAGCGCCATCGCCTATCACATACCAATGCCTTCAAGGGCCCACGTTTAGAGAAGAGAAAGAACAACTGCGGCAGAACAAACATAAATGCCAAATAATAATAATTGTGTACTAGGCCGTCAGAATTGGCCTCAACTTTCGGCTTCCAGTAACAATAGAGGAAGTACGAATAATCAGACGAGGAATGAGGACAGCGATAGAAGTAACAACAATAACAACAACGACTTACAACAAAGTAGACGACGGAGGCGACGTATTGCGATAAAATATAGTATGTATTTGTTATGTAAACACAGCGCTATCGCCTATCACATACCAATGGATTCAAGGGCCCACGTTTAGAGAAGAGAAAGAAAAACTGCGGCAGAACAAACACAAATGCCAAATAATAATAATTGTGTACTAGGCCGTCAGAATTGGCCTCAACTTTCGGCTTCCAGTAACAATAGAGGAAGTACGAATAATCAGACGAGGAATGAGGACAGCGATAGAAGTAACAACAATAACAACAACGACTTTCAACAATGTAGACGACGGAGGCGACGACGTTACGATCAAAGTTGTGAACAACGGTGCCGCTGGATGTAGCACTACGACGACAAAAAAAAAAGAATTCTACAAAACGTTCTACGAAAGTCAAATATCAATCTATCGAATGCGACAGTTCTAAAGGAAATCGTAAATTACACAATGGTATAGAATGTTTTGGTACCGTAATCGGGGATTCGGAAAAACTTAAAGTTGTACAAAAGTTTTCGTTTTGCGCAGCAAGGCGTATTACTTGTGATTTGGTCATTGGTGATCCTCAACCTAACCTAACCTTAGTTAAAGCATCCATTTAGAAAGGACCGTATGGCCATTAGATCCCACGTCGTCGGGACACTTTTAGATTCTGAGCGGAATGATGCATGAGCATATTGCATAATATGTAGGTACCTACCTATAAGTTTTGTTCATGTCTTTCATTATTTTAAAGAACTCATGTCCCATTAAAATTATTTTATTTCATTTTATGGTCACTAATCACCAAAAATAAGAGATTACAATTTTAAAAAAGGTCACTTTTTTGTCACATGTATTATTTTCCATCGATTATATGTATTGCGATAAACTATAGTATGTATTTGTTATGTAAACACACCGCTATCGCCTTTCACATACCAATGCCTTCAAGGGCCCACGTTTAGAGAAGAGAAAGAAAAACTGCGGCAGAACAAACATAAATGCCAAAGAATAATAATTGTGTACTAGGCCGTCAGAATTGGCCTCAACTTTCGGCTTCCAGTAACAATAGAGGAAGTACGAATAATCAGACGAGGAATGAGGACAGCGATAGAAGTAACAACAATAACAACAACGACTTACAACAAAGTAGACGACGGAGGCGACGTATTGCGATAAACTATAGTATGTATTTGTTATGTAAACACAGCGCTATCGCCTATCACATACCAATGCCTTCAAGGGCCCACGTTTAGAGAAGAGAAAGAAAAACTGCGGCAGAACAAACATAAATGCCAAATAATAATAATTGTGTACTAGGCCGCCAGAATTGGCCTCAACTTTCGGCTTCCAGTAACAATAGAGGAAGTACGAATAATCAGACGAGGAATGAGGACAGCGATAGAAGTAACAACAATAACAACAACGACTTACAACAAAGTAGATGACCCTGCCTCTTTAAAATGTAAAGTAGCTGAATTGATTTAGTCTTTCCCCGACACACGTATCGTTCGCTAGTTCGCTCTGAATTTAAAAGTTTTCTTAGTGTTTTATATATATTTTTTTTTTTATTGCAAGTGCTAATTTTTTTTCCTATACCAGTTTAAAAATGTTTAACAAAATAATGTTTTTCATTTATTATTTCATAAATCCCATTTGGATTCATGCTAAAGATGATGATGACATCATTTTGTCTCGCGAAGACCTCATAAGGATACATGGAGAAGGTTTTCAGCAAGGGTAAGCTAAAATTGTTATTATATTTTATCATTTTCTACATATTAAAATTTTTGTAGCGAGATAAACAACGACGATGTTATTGAAATTAATTCGATTTCGTTACGTGACCTTTATGAGGAATATTCGGTGGTGCGAGACCGTAACACAGGATTCAATGAATGGGCAACACGTGCGGCATTAGTTTCCCGAGATTTACGTTTAGAGTTTAATGTGTTGGGCGTAATAATGGTCGATCATTTCACAGACAATTCAATTCCTATAGATGAATTCATAGTAAGTTTAAACATAGAAAAATATTAATTAAAATGAATAGATTTACTAACCACTTAAAACTTGTAGGTACAGATATCATTTCAAGACTTATTTCCATTGATTAGAACAATTACTGAACATTATACACAATACTATATATTTTTTCCAATACCGATCACAGGGAAGAACGATCTATTACCTGGACGAGACCTGGGTCAACGCAGGTGACTGCAACGACAGAATATGGCAGGACAGAACTGTTGCGTCCCACAGAGACGCCTACGTGTCCGGTCTATCAATTGGCGCACCAAATCCAACTGCAAAAGGGAAACGTCTGATTGTTGTACATATTGGGTCAGAGGAGGGTTTTGTCGACGGCGGCTTATTGGTATTTGAATCCAAAAAAGGCTCGGCAGATTATCATGAAGAAATGAACGGCGATTTTTTTTTCGACTGGTTGAAAGGCGTCATTCCATTAGTAAAAGACAATTCTGTCATAGTAATGGACAATGTGCCTTATCACTCAGTAAAAACTGAAAAATGCTTAACATTAGGATGGAGAAAAAATGAAATTGAAAATTGGCTGGAAGAAAAAGGTGAACAATTCGAAAGGCCGATTAACAAGGTACGGCTCATGGACATCGTGAAACGCATTAAACCGCGGTACAATACATACGTTGTTGACGAATACGTGAAGAAGAACAATATGACGGTATTAAGGACGCCACCGTATCATTGCGAAGTCAACCCCATCGAACTAGCGTGGTCGTCCGTAAAAAGGTACGTGAAGTCAAACAATACCACATTTAAACTTCCGGACGTAAGACAACTATTAATCGAATGTGTCAATAACTGCACACCCGAAATGTGGAAGAACTTTGTACAACACGTCATTAAAATAGAAGACAGGTTCTGGAAAGTCGACTTAACTACCGATGATGTGATGGATAATGACAATCTCCGTGTAATAACAATCATGTATTATATTGCATGTATTTTGTATTTTTTTATGCGAGGAATGAGGACAGCGATAGAAGTAACAACAATAACAACAACGACTTTCAACAATGTAGACGACGGAGGCGACGACGTTACGATCAAAGCTGTGAACAACGGTGCCGCTGGATGTAGCACTACGACGACAAAAAAAAAGAATTCTACAAAACGTTCTACGAAAGTCAAATATCAATCTATCGAATGCGACAGTTCTAAAGGAAGTCGTAAATTACACAATGGTATAGAATGTTTTGGTACCGTAATCGGGGATTCGGAAAAACTTAAAGTTGTACAAAAGTTTTCGTTTTGCGCAGCAAGGCGTATTACTTGTGATTTGGTCATTGGTGATCCTCAACCTAACCTAACCTTAGTTAAAGCATCCATTTAGAAAGGACCGTATGGCCATTAGATCCCACGTCGTCGGGACACTTTTAGATTCTGAGCGGAATGATGCATGAGCATATTGCATAATATGTAGGTACCTACCTATAAGTTTTGTTCATGTCTTTCATTATTTTAAAGAACTCATGTCCCATTAAAATTATTTTATTTCATTTTATGGTCACTAATCACCAAAAATAAGAGATTACAATTTTAAAAAAGGTCGCTTTTTTGTCACATGTATTATTTTCCATCGATTATATGTATTGCGATAAACTATAGTATGTATTTGTTATGTAAACACACCGCTATCGCCTTTCACATACCAATGCCTTCAAGGGCCCACGTTTAGAGAAGACAAAGAAAAACTGCGGCAGAACAAACATAAATGCCAAATAATAGTAATTGTGTACTAGGCCGTCAGAATTGGCCTCAACTTTCGGCTTCCAGTAACAATTGAGGAAGTACGAATAATCAGACGAGGAATGAGGATAGCGATAGAAGTAACAAGAATAACAACAACGACATTCAACAAAGTAGACGACGGAGGCGACGACGTTACTATCAAAGCTGTGAACAACGGTGCCGCTGGATGTAGCACTACGACGACAAAAAAAAAGAATTCTACAAAACGTTCTACGAAAGTCAAATATCAATTTATCGAATGCGACATTTCTAAAGGAAATCGTAAATTACACAATGGTATAGAATGTTTTGTTACCGTAATCGGGGATTCGGAAAAACTTAAAGTTGTACAAAAGTTTTCGTTTTGCGCGGCATGGCGTATTACTTGTGATTTGGTCATTGGTGATCCTCAACCTAACCTTACCTTAGGTAAAGCATCCATTTAGAAAGGACCGTATAGCCATTAGATCCCACGTCAGCGGGACACTTTAAGATTCTGGCCGGAATGATGCATGAGCATATTGCATAAAATGTAGGTACCTACCTATAAGTTTTGTTCATGTCTTTCATTATTTTTAAGAGCTCATGTCCTTTTAAAATTATTTAATATCATTTTATGGTCACTTATCACCAAAAATAAGAGATTACAATTTTAAAAAAGGTCACTTTTTTGTCACATGTATTATTTTCCATCGATTATATGTATTGCGATAAACTATAGTATGTGTATGTTATGTAAACACACCGCTATCGCCTTTCACATACCAATGCCTTCAAGGGCCCACGTTTAGAGAAGAGAAAGAAAAACTGCGGCAGAACAAACATAAATGCCAAATAATAATAATTGTGTACTAGGCCGTCAGAATTGGCCTCAACTTTCGGCTTCCAGTAACAATAGAGGAAGTACGAATAATCAGACGAGGAATGAGGACAGCGATAGAAGTAACAACAATAACAACAACGACTTACAACAAAGTAGACGACGGAGGCGACGTATTGCGATAAAATATAGTATGTATTTGTTATGTAAACACAGCGCTATCGCCTATCACATACCAATGGATTCAAGGGCCCACGTTTAGAGAAGAGAAAGAAAAACTGCGGCAGAACAAACACAAATGCCAAATAATAATAATTGTGTACTAGGCCGTCAGAATTGGCCTCAACTTTCGGCTTCCAGTAACAATAAAGGAAGTACGAATAATCAGACGAGGAATGAGGACAGCGATAGAAGTAACAACAATAACAACAACGACTTTCAACAATGTAGACGACGGAGGCGACGACGTTACGATCAAAGCTGTGAACAACGGTGCCGCTGGATGTAGCACTACGACGACAAAAAAAAAAGAATTCTACAAAACGTTCTACGAAAGTCAAATATCAATCTATCGAATGCGACAGTTCTAAAGGAAATCGTAAATTACACAATGGTATAGAATGTTTTGGTACCGTAATCGGGGATTCGGAAAAACTTAAAGTTGTACAAAAGTTTTCGTTTTGCGCAGCAAGGCGTATTACTTGTGATTTGGTCATTGGTGATCCTCAACCTAACCTAACCTTAGTTAAAGCATCCATTTAGAAAGGACCGTATGGATATTAGATCCCACGTCGTCGGGACACTTTTAGATTCTGAGCGGAATGATGCATGAGCATATTGCATAATATGTAGGTACCTACCTATAAGTTTTGTTCATGTCTTTCATTATTTTAAAGAACTCATGTCCCATTAAAATTATTTTATTTCATTTTATGGTCACTAATCACCAAAAATAAGAGATTACAATTTTAAAAAAGGTCACTTTTTTGTCACATGTATTATTTTCCATCGATTATATGTATTACGATAAACTATAGTATGTATTTGTTATGTAAACACACCGCTATCGCCTTTCACATACCAATGCCTTCAAGGGCCCACGTTTAGAGAAGAGAAAGAAAAACTGCGGCAGAACAAACATAAATGCCAAATAATAATAATTGTGTACTAGGCCGCCAGAATTGGCCTCAACTTTCGGCTTCCAGTAACAATAGAGGAAGTACGAATAATCAGACGAGGAATGAGGACAGCGATAGAAGTAACAACAATAACAACAACGACTTACAACAAAGTAGATGACCCTGCCTCTTTAAAATGTAAAGTAGCTGAATTGATTTAGTCTTTCCCCGACACACGTATCGTTCGCTAGTTCGCTCTGAATTTAAAAGTTTTCTTAGTGTTTTATATATATATTTTTTTTTATTGCAAGTGCTAATTTTTTTTCCTATACCAGTTTAAAAATGTTTAACAAAATAATGTTTTTCATTTATTATTTCATAAATCCCATTTGGATTCATGCTAAAGATGATGATGACATCATTTTGTCTCGCGAAGACCTCATAAGGATACATGGAGAAGGTTTTCAGCAAGGGTAAGCTAAAATTGTTATTATATTTTATCATTTTCTACATATTAAAATTTTTGTAGCGAGATAAACAACGACGATGTTATTGAAATTAATTCGATTTCGTTACGTGACCTTTATGAGGAATATTCGGTGGTGCGAGACCGTAACACAGGATTCAATGAATGGGCAACACGTGCGGCATTAGTTTCCCGAGATTTACGTTTAGAGTTTAATGTGTTGGGCGTAATAATGGTCGATCATTTCACAGACAATTCAATTCCTATAGATGAATTCATAGTAAGTTTAAACATAGAAAAATATTAATTAAAATGAATAGATTTACTAACCACTTAAAACTTGTAGGTACAGATATCATTTCAAGACTTATTTCCATTGATTAGAACAATTACTGAACATTATACACAATACTATATATTTTTTCCAATACCGATCACAGGGAAGAACGATCTATTACCTGGACGAGACCTGGGTCAACGCAGGTGACTGCAACGACAGAATATGGCAGGACAGAACTGTTGCGTCCCACAGAGACGCCTACGTGTCCGGTCTATCAATTGGCGCACCAAATCCAACTGCAAAAGGGAAACGTCTGATTGTTGTACATATTGGGTCAGAGGAGGGTTTTGTCGACGGCGGCTTATTGGTATTTGAATCCAAAAAAGGCTCGGCAGATTATCATGAAGAAATGAACGGCGATTTTTTTTTCGACTGGTTGAAAGGCGTCATTCCATTAGTAAAAGACAATTCTGTCATAGTAATGGACAATGTGCCTTATCACTCAGTAAAAACTGAAAAATGCTTAACATTAGGATGGAGAAAAAATGAAATTGAAAATTGGCTGGAAGAAAAAGGTGAACAATTCGAAAGGCCGATTAACAAGGTACGGCTCATGGACATCGTGAAACGCATTAAACCGCGGTACAATACATACGTTGTTGACGAATACGTGAAGAAGAACAATATGACGGTATTAAGGACGCCACCGTATCATTGCGAAGTCAACCCCATCGAACTAGCGTGGTCGTCCGTAAAAAGGTACGTGAAGTCAAACAATACCACATTTAAACTTCCGGACGTAAGACAACTATTAATCGAATGTGTCAATAACTGCACACCCGAAATGTGGAAGAACTTTGTACAACACGTCATTAAAATAGAAGACAGGTTCTGGAAAGTCGACTTAACTACCGATGATGTGATGGATAATGACAATCATGTATTATATTGTATGTATTTTGTATTTTTTTTATAAACCGTTAAATTTGTTAACAAAAAAAATTAACTATTAAAAAATATTTAACGCTAATTAATATTTGACGTTTATTTTTTGAAAAAGGTAGAGCGAGGTTCTCTCGCTGGACAGAGTATACCTTCGTTGATATATCATATAGATACTGAGGACTTTTACGAGGACCTGGCTACTAATCATATCTTACTGGACCGGAGGGATACTGCCAACCTACCCCTTGAGCGTATTTACAGACCGTAACTGAATTCGGCCAAACGGGTATGCACGTCACCCAATACGCATGCGCGTGCCACTACTGTATCACAACTGTTACCACCCATGCTATATACCAGATAGGAAGAAGAGCCCGGGGTTCTTCTCTGATGAGGTGGATGGAAATATAATAACAGAATTTTGAGCGTTGAGGGCGAAGTCATATGCATTTAAAGTATATGCTGGAGAAGAGGAAAGAGTGGGAGGAGAAAAGATTAAGGCGAAAGAAATCAGAGCTCATGTGGTTAAAAACCATATGACTCTTGAGGACCATAGGAAGTGCCTGTTTGGAAAAAAAGGGAGATTCAGAAACCGCAACCAGCAACCAGCAACCCGCATCCAGCAACCCGCGACCCGCAACCCACCGCAACCCGAAAACCCTTATGACCACCACCGGCACATGGCTTACGTGCGCGAAAGTACTCTACCTAACCTGGGAAGAATTTAGGGTTGAGTTTTTAGAAAATTATAACAATACCGAAATCCAATCCCAACTAAGCGCCGACATCGTGTCAACACGACAAACGCCCAGACAGTCGCTTACGGAATTTGTGCTAGTTAAAAACCAGCAAGCGCGCCACGTAAATACCGGCCTATCCGAATCGGAGTTGGTAAGTATTATAGGAGGACTAACGCGCGACACATTCATACACACATCCGTCTACAACGGCCACTGACGCTCAGCGAGTTACGACGCATCGCAGGCGTTTTGAACCCAGTAACGGACAAAACCAACCCATCCCCACAGCATTGGTTCCCAAAACCCAAAAAAGGGACGGATACCCCACAAAACAGTCCCCCCCCCGGTCAATAAATGTAAGAGTAAAAGACAAATTCTTGACCTTAATACACTGATAGGTCTGCATTCTTCAGATACCAAGTTAGGAATTGTGATGAAGAGGAAATGAAACTCTATTAAATGAAAATATTGTAGAAGACCATCGCGTATTCAAACAATACAAAAATAGGTAACACAATTCTAAATTATTAATAAATCTGATTTTTTATTTGGATTAATGAAAAATATTTAAATATAATTAATTTCATAAATATTGGATGATATTTACGAATTTCCATAGGTAAATATAATGGATTTGAACACGATACAATGTAGGATTTAGATGGTACAACCCAGCACAAATACGTTGTAAAAATTCATTATTTTTTGTTGATAATAAAACATATTGAGAAAATATAAGAAAAATAATAATCAAATTATTTTATCAAAAAAAAACTCTGTTTTAAGCTTGTGATGTTTTTGTAATTGTTTCTCTTTAATTTAAACTCTTCAAAACGTTAAGTTTTCATACATATTGTTAAGCTAGTATTTCGAAAAAAGAAATTTTTTTTTTTTTAATAATGTTTCACTATATAATATTAACATTGTAACACAAAAACTAATTTTTTTTTTTTTTCTTAATACAATATTTTTCTAGTAGTGTAATTTATATTTATAAATGGTTGTTTACATATTTACTACATCACCAATTAATATCAATAATAATAGCTTCTTAACCCTACATAAAACTGATTTGAACAGTAAATTATTTTATTCTGTACACACTATAATATAACAACTATTTTTTAAATATTCTTTACTACACATTGCATTATAAACTTGTTCACTGTTAATATACCGTGTTTCCTCTAACACCATTGTGTGTAGACATATAATATAGCTGTTGTGTATAAATACACATCCAAGCTTTTACCGCATATGCTAATTAGCTAACATGTACAACCAATAATTTTTTTGTTTGAGATTTAGGGTTGAAATTCAACATGTCCATTCATATATACATTTAAGAGCTTGCGAATTGTTAGACCACGCCAGGGGCTCATACATATGCATTTCTTGAATAATATGTCAAATCACAGCTAACTTGACCATATATCAGTTGAAATTTCAACTTACAATTATTATAATAATAATAATAACACGTATAAATCATCTTTTTATTTTTTATTTGTTTAAATTAAAACAAATGTATATCAATGTTAATGCAAATATGGTATATGAGAACATATAGCTGTTATATAAGTATACACAATTAAAAATAAAGTTATAATGTAATAATAAAAGAAAGATTCAAACATTTTGTTTTATCAAAAAATATTTTAGTTGTAGTATATGTAAAAAACCAGACAAAAAACTTTAATTCATAATTCAGATCCAAATTGTATCAATCATCCATTGTTTTCAGTTCACTAAATATGTTACTATTATACAGTAAATGTACTTATGAATTAATAATCATCTACAACACAAAATTATTTTTACTTGATATAATAATTGAAACTATTCTTAAATAAAATGGAAATTTTCTTGACTTAAAAGATACAAATTTATAATAAAGAAATTAAATTACCACACAAATTTTAGAAGTGTGAAGGTCATAAGTCATTACAATAAGTAAACCTTTGTAGTACATTTCAACCACAAAATAATATTTTATAAAACATATGACAAGGTGCTAGGTTGACCATCGATAAAAATAATGTAGATGAATGTGGGGTGAAGGTTAGTTGTGGACATTCTAAAAGAGAGGATGTCTTCAGTAACTGAAATGTGAGCAATCTGTGGTTAGGTACATTTATTTTCACAATTTTCTGCTAATAATATTTTTCCCGTGTTTGAAAAAGGTAAACATATCTAGCGAAACTGAGAAGGCTAAAATAGAAAGCCAAGATGGTTGACAATCCACAACCAAACAGATCGGTTTGTGTAACTATTGGAACAACTAATTGCAAGACCTATTCTGTCTATTGATCATTTAAAGAAATAAGTTCTTGTTTCAGGTGTTAAGAATATATTCCAATATTAAACATATAAGTAATAAAAAAAAGAGAAAAAAAAATAATAATATATTATATTAGGTAAATAATATAATTTATATTTTAGTTCTCAGATCCATTTCTTTATAGTGGATTTCAAATCCACTATGTTTAACAAAACAGAAATACTATTGTACTATTGGTGTCCTGCACAATCTCCAACAACTTGGAAAGGTACAAACCAGTAAAACTGGAGGGGAGCCATCTTGTGCTTGTACAAGGTGATAAGTTGAGAAGGTTCAAGAGCTATGACTTGGAAAATGTATTGCAGGCAATCAAAAGATTATTTTGCCACAAACAGGACTTGATGAGACCTATGCTGGTACAATTATACAGAAGTATTAACCATCAGATGGAGTCAAGCATGTCAACGACTTATTTTCGAAGATACCTGCACACTATAAACAAAGACGCTATAATAGTACTATGGAACGGATTTACAGATGTAACAATAATTAAACGTTTAAGGATAAGGGACATTTTAGAGTATTTTAAAATAACCGCATATAACAAAAAAAATAATATCAAAAATTTTAAAAAATGTTACAATGCTAAACATTTTGGAAACTCGTTCATTGATATGTTATACGGATCATCGTATTACACATTGCAACGATCCAGTAGCAGACGTAAATTTGACATAATTATATTTGATTACATCTGTAGCAACCAAAATTCCTATGTACACTTAGAATCGGTGTCGGTATCGGTGTCGGTGTCGGTAGAAGTAAAATTATGTGGTTTTAAATGGACGGCTTTAACATTGACACCGATCCGATAAAAATATCGTTTTAGTGCGACGATATCGGAGTGCATGTCGGACGGACGACCAGTATCGGACGATATTTTTATCGTTCCGATTTCAATGACCAATACAAACAAATGTTGGTTTTCACACATGACCGATAATATCGTCGTGCCGAAATAGTGTTATCAATTTTGTTCATTATTTTATTGTTAAATATATAAACACGTGGTTGATACAAATATAATTATTCAACATTTTTTTAATTTTAAAATTATTAAAATGAGTTTTTCATACGATATTCCAACATTCATTGAATTAGTGGAATCTAGGCCTTTGGGACAAAATAAAAACAGAGTACAGGGACAGAACAATAAAACGTAATAAATGGAACGAAGTGTTTATTTATTTTGAAAAAAAATATGAAGAAATATCTGAGAAGGAACAACAAGAAATTGGTAAGTTTGTTTTATAACAATAAAATAATTTAAAAGTCAAATTAAATATTAAAATAAGAAAAGCTATGAAGATTTCGAAGCTAAAATTAATCAAGATTTTGCCAATTTTTTGCTTGAAGAACAAATTTATACTTCTAAAATTATATTTGATTACATCTGTAGCAACCAAAATTCCTACGTACACTTAGAATCATCTTAAAGGTGTCATACATAGTGGCTAGTGTAGTATACTGTATCCAACATAATAATAGGAAAATATAGATAACAATCAAATGCGTACCAAAACAAATCTCTAATATAAGGAGCCACACAATTAGGTCATGTGAGGTAACAAGAGAAGAGCTATTAATTTATAATCGATAAACTAATATAGGGATGGCAAATAGGATTGGCGAGTTGGAAGTGCTCACGTACATTTACTGGACAATGGAGACTGTTGATTTGTTGACGTACAATCAACGCGTCGAGAGGACCGCTCAGAAACAATTGCTGTTTCACATATTTGCCGACGTTTATCGGTCTGATCTCAAGGGCCCCGACCACGTGTCTGCTGGTTTATATCACGAAAAATTTTGTAGACTTTTACAAAAACATGGTAAATTTTTGTCTCAAAAAAATCACGTGTCCGCAAAAAGTGTAGCGTTCGTCATGAGCACAATATTGATGATACTTCTAATAATTTAAGTTTTGAAGAATGTGCTGGCATATTAGAAATAAATAATGGTAAATTGTGTTTTCCTGATTACTTTGTAATAAAAAATAGTAAGTATTGAAATATATAATATTTAGACTTAAATAAATACACAGGATAACTAATAACTAGAGCCCGGATTTATATGCATTTGCATGTTCGTACTAAGTGTATGCACGTCTATGAGGGTTTAAAATGTCCACGGTTCATATCACACCGTAATTTAAACACCAAATTTTATATTGCATATTTCGAGGGTTTTTGCATATTTGTTCATAAATGTTTTTAAAAGAAATGCTACTACAGAACAACTTAAAAATCAGAAATTGATACCTATTCCGAAACCCACATTGTCGTCAGAGAAGAAAAAAGATTTTCTGGCCATGATTCCTTTTCTACCCGAAGAGCATAGAAACTTTTATAAAAATATTACGTCCTGAACTTCTTTGACTGTTGTTATTATGTTTAACCAAGAGATTTCTTTAAATTTTCATTAGATTTGTTAATTTATTATTTGTCTATTATTTGTTATAATTAAAAAAACGAATTGATTTTTGTTATATTCTGATGTGAAGGAAATATGTTTATTTTACGTTCTAAAATGTATCAAGTCAATATAAAGTTTAATCAAGTGTTTTTTTTAATTTTTATTCAGTTTGTTATTTTATTTATCAATATGTGATACTTAAAAAGATAATGTTTTTTAAATTTTCAATGACCTAATGAAGAAAATATGTTTATTTTACGTTAAAGTCGTAATTTTGTTATATTAATATAATAAAGAATAATTCTCTGTTATTTCCAAAAAAATATTGTTACTTGGAACAATAATCACACCATTTGGCACTAAGAGTTTTAATATTATATGATTTGGCACTTGGAACTGTCATTAGCAAATGTTTAATTTTAACTAATATTAAATGATAATTATAATAATTGAACTTAACTAGGCTATAAATGTTGTGTAAATATATAACATATATTTTTACACAATATTATAATATATTATATTGAATGTTGTATTGTTTTTTGTGTTTCCAGAACATTTTGGTTTTTGGCACATAGAACGTTTGACACATTCACTCTTCATATAGTTTCCTTTTTAATATGCATAACTAATTATTTTGAATTCTGATGGTTAGGTAATAGGTTACAATGTTGGAACATGAATTTTCATAGTTTTTATAAGTCATATTTTTATAAATAGAGTAAAAATAGTAAAAATAACATTTTTAGACCGCCCAAAAAACCAATTTGTAGCAAAATCTATGAATTTTTTGATGCACAAATGGAATTGAGAATCACAGGTGATACTCAGTTGGCAGTTCATGAATTAAATATGTGCATATCTCATATCTTGAGTATCATAACTCAAGGCAAGGGTGGCAAATATTGGTGAGATGCATATTTGATACTCAAGGCGATTGTGGCAAATTGATAATAAAATATTAGAACGACTTGGAAAAGTAGACTGAGAATCATTATCAGATTCGGCTTGGAGCAGCAGTAAAATTTTTAAAAACTTTATAATCTTTTTATTTTGTTCAAGTTTTTAACAGAGTGGTGTTACTATAAGCAAGTCAAACATTTTGTCATAATATATTATTAATAATACGACTTCATTAAAATCATGTTTTTTACAATAAAAATTTAAAAAAAATTTCTTATTTAAAAATTGTATATATTTTAAATAAAGTGGTATTATATGATTTATGATAAAATATAAATTAGTATAGTAAATTTAAAAAAATATGTTTTCCTCAAAGAAGTTTGTTTAAAACCTAATATCTCAAAATTTCTTGAAACTAAACTTATAAGTCCACTTTCTAAAAAAAAAAAAATGCACTTTTTTATTGAATCAAATTGACAACATTTTAAAAAGTTGCATATGAAACAAATTAATACTATAGGCAAAACACTGAATCATATATTATGTCATGTCGCGATGCAAGTTGGTATGACACGACATCTGAAGAATTATATTTATTTATTTCAGTACAAATGCTTATGGCTAGGAATAAAAAACTTGATATTTCAGAATATTGGTCGACAGATCCACTACTTTATTCTCCTATTTTTGGAAAATCATGAGTAGAAATCGATTTCAGTTACTTTTGCGTTATATTCATTTTTGTAATAATAACAATCAAGTCACAAATGACCGATTATTCAAAGTTGATATGGTATTACAAGACATAAAGAATAACTTCAGATCTGCTATGGTGCCATTTCAAAATCTTGTTATAGATGAGAGTTTGGTGCTATGGAAAGGGAGACTTTCATTCAAGAAATTCATAAGTACCAAACGTCATCGGTTTGGAATAAAATTTTTTATTTTGTGTGATGTAGAAACAGACTATATTTTAGATTTTATTATATACACTGGAAAAACTACACGTCTTGTTTCGTGTGATCCTAACTTAGGCCAATCAGGTGCTGTTGTAAAAACATTAATGGAAAAATATTTAAATAAAGGTCATACTCTGTATACTGACAACTGGTATACATCACCAATACTATCAATGTACTTACATAAAAAAAAAACCAATACTTGTGGTACTGTAAGATGTAATCGTCGTGGAATGCCACCATTCAAAAAAACTAAACTTAAACCTGGTCAAACTGAAAGTAAGCATACTGGGAAAATGTTGGCAATAAAATGGATGGACCAGAATGAGGTGCATATGCTTACCACAATACACGGAGATGAACAATTGCCTATTCAAAAACATGGTAAAATAACCATGAAACCGAAATGTGTAAAAGAATACAATGAAAATATGGGATCCGTGGATAAGACTGATATGTTACTTAGAAGTGTGGAGTGTGTAAGAAAAACAATAAAATGGTACAAAAAGATATTTTTTCATTTGATAGATTTATCATTATTAAATGCTTACTCATCATACAAGACAGTTACGGGAAACCATATTCCAATACCTAGCTCAGTTTCAGATGGCACTAATAAGACAGATAATAGAAAAATATCAAACCGATCGTGTACCAAAATCAAGACCACCGACTAAGGACCAACCATCAAAACTAATTGATAGGCATTTTCCCTCAGAAGTTCCAGCAACACAATCTGGAAGGCTTGCCAGAAGAAGATGCCAACTATGCAAGAAAAATAATAAGCGAACTAACACTATGTGTACAGAATGTGATGTGGGCTTATGCGCAGCATCTTGTTTTAATATTTACCACACAATAAAATGTTGACTATTATTTTTTTATATTTTATTATAGACTAGTATAATATTATTACATGTAATTTTTTTCTTTTTTTTAATAAATACTTAATTTTTACAATTTATTATATATGCGTTATTAATTACCGGATTAACGATAAATGTTGAGAAACCCTGGCTGGTCAATTAAAAAATAATTACAATTAATTAGGAAATTAATTAATTAATTTTTTTTTTTTGCTGATAATTATTAAATCAGGGAATTCATTAAATAGAATAAAAAAAAAGTGAAAATACCCCCAAAAAAAAAGCTTGGCCTGTCAGTGGTGAATAATTTAAAAGTGCTTGGCAGGGAAAAGGTTAACCCTCAAAAAAAAAATATAAATAAAGTTGTGAAATATTTTAGCCCAACACACGTTTTTTGCATATGAAAATATGATAAAAATTACTTACAAGGTTTAGACACGAAGCCATTGATATATTAAAAGTAAATGGTTTATTACTAGCTACGCTAGCTAGGCGTGGCCAAATGTTGTTTTAATATTATTTAGCGTGATTAAACACAAGTTTTAAAATATGTATTCATACGCTTTTTGGACGTATGACCACATAGAAGCAGTTAACTTAGGTTATTTTTAGAATAATATTGTATTTTACTTTTATCAATCCTATTGGAGACATTTTTATCTGTTTTTTTTTTTATGTGTATACCAACACAACAAAATATAAAAACTATTATTGATATGACGTATATAACAATTATCGACTTAACAATTATCGAAAAATTAACAATGTATAAATATTTACTAACGTATTAATATTTTCTATTTTCTATTGAACAATAAATTATCAACATATTAAATTAAATCATGCAATAAACTCATTGAAAAATTGAAAGAGATAGTAGAACACTCTAATAGGATTATAGCAGACAAACATTGACAACATTCAATAATATGCTTCATAATTTGTCGACAGGTAATATTTGATAATACTGTTAGCATATACAATATAGGTACATCACGTATGTGATTGTTACATATTTGTACATAACTACTTAAGATTTGATACTCACTTATTTAAAATCTAAATAACTTAACTGTCAAAATCAGAATTTTTTTATACCTACATGAAAGTCTAGAACGCATGTAATGATTTTACAAATAAATTATTTCCAATAGGTGGGTGTTACTGGAATCTACATTGTTTAGTACCCACCTACGATTACCAGGGTAGCCAATCATTAGGCAATCGTATAGTAAGTTTAACTTTCAATGTTTTTATAAATATTATTTTATATGCCATATTAGTTATAAAATGAAAAATGTCTTACAACAAGTTAGTAATTTTTCAGATTCAAAAGTATTGGTTATAATGTATTTTTACACTGTATATTCATTACTTTGTCAAAAAAATCAACTCATGATGAAAATAGTAGAAAAGGTTTTACTAAATACTACAGTAAACAAAATTCTCAAATTAATTTGTTATAATGACACCAACTACTGTGGCCATAACATCTAATGAATGTATACCAAAGTACCTACTCGGTACCCATCACTAATTTCGCATATCGGATATGGTATCTAATATAAAACGTACAGGTAAACATCATTAACACTTTCCAACAATCCAAGATCCATACAGAGAAAAATTAAAATTATAAAATCATATTCCGGAACATCTTGTCAAAATCGAAATTGTATCAACGTCATGACATATAAATATGAAACCAGTTGTATTAACAATCCAAGCAATAGCCTGATAAAAATATTATTAAACTACAATAGGTATAACAATCTCACTAATTTTTATAAGACATTAATTAATTATGTAATTTACCTTGATAGTGAAACTTCTTTTACCATAATATAAAATCTGACCACTCGGCTGATTTTGAAATGTTAACCATTGAAAGGTGTCAAATCTAATGCTCTAGCCACAGCTAAAGATATCATACCTAAAAAAATAAATAAATAAAAATATAAGCCTCAGACATTACAAATAATTACATAGGAGGCAGTACGTATGAAAACATTAATGGTTTACATTACCAATATTGCCACAGACCGTTTTATAGTGTTCAAACGACATGCAAAATAGTATGATGTATTGGGTAAACAGACGTTATTTCCCAGTAGAAAAAACCAGTTCATGAATAGGTTGTAACCGTCAAATTTAAGTTAGAATATTACGTGTGTGAAGTTGGGTGACCAAAGCTAGGTGACCAATTTTTGGTGATAAGAAAACTTGTATGCTCGGTTGCATTACGGTATTTTCTAGGCGCACAATGTTTATATTGCCGTTTGTATGTTCTACTTCTATTTCTAACCACAAGATAGCAGTAAAGGATTCTTCACGAAATATTATAAGGTCACCTAAACTTCATAGTATTATAAAATGACGCCGCGAAGCCAGGACATAGCACTATACACGACAGCCATACGACGCGAAACGTAAAGCGCGCGTGGTTTTTGATTTTTCCGGCAGTGTTCCGGAAAGAGTCGAAGGACCTAACATAGATATTCGGAAAGCCAGGAAAATTTTCTATCCGACGAGATAAATTTCAAGAGTTCCCGGGCTTTGGGGGTAACCGTACTTAGTGCACGAAAGTGCCAGGTGACTAATGCTGGTATGACGCGAAACGTATACGCGCGTCTGGTGAACAATGCCGGTAGGACGCGAAACGTATACGCGCGAGTGGTTTTTGATTTTTCCGGCAGTGTTCCGGAAGGAGTCGAAGGACCTAACATAGATATTCGGAAAGCCAGGAAAATTTACTATCCGACGAGATAAAATTCAAGAGCTCCCTGGCTTTTTAAGTAACCGTACTTAGTGCACGAAAGTGCCAGGTGACTAATGCCGGTATGACGCGAAACGTATACCGAAATGTAAAATTAATATACAATTATTTTAACTCTTTTTGAGTATATTTTTAATTATCATAATTTTGTTGACTGTAGTTTCTACTGTTGGGTGGATAATTCATAATTTTTAAGAATAATTATTTAATTATTTTAATTGTAATATTTAAAAAAAATAATATTAATTACATACATAGATAGAAAAAAAAGTATGTTGCTGCGCGCGTTTCGACAATATCGACACATATTCGGCTAGTCGTATTTTTGGAGTGGCGATACGGGAAAGGTTATTACTTATTTAAGTCAACATTACATTACATTAGAGGCAATTCATTAATTAATTGAAAAATTAAACATAATAGATAAAATAATTGCAAAATTATAATAAAATCAATTGATAAAAAATTAAAAATTAAAAAATTTCAAGTTTCTGATTTTTTCCTTTGTATTTACCTAACTACCTATCTGTATGCCAAATTTGAACTTTCTAGGTCATCTGGAACTGGGTTAGAATTTTGATCTATAATCTATAGGTCAGTCAGTGATAAAAATGACGATTTTCGGACGTTAATATCTAAATAACGGTTTGAAGTGTGTTTATGAAATTTAGAGCACATATATGTATCTCGTTAGTCTCAATATATGAGCCAAATTTGACATGTTTATGTGGAATAGTTTTTGAGTTATGAGGAGGTCAAAAGTGGCTCCAAATGGTTCGTGTAATATTACACACGGTGCTGCTCGCCAGTTCTGTTAGCTAGAACTTGGCTTGACACGCTACCGCGTGTCTAGATAATATGGAAATTAGCTAAGTAGATTTGGGGGCTTAGATGATTTGAAAATGTTAGTAGTTAGTTGTTAGTACTAATTACCATTGATCTATCAAGATAAATAATTTGTAAAAATTATTAAGTAGGTATACTGATAATAGTGAATAGGTAGGTACTACATCTATTATTAGGTAGGTACTTATAGTTTTTTATTGTAAACCATATTCCAAGGATTATTACACTACACATTTTATTAATTCAGCAACTACTTATTAGAATTTTGATTTAGATACATATACATTTACAATAACATCATATTATGCTAAATAATTTGCAGTGAAAAAGGAAATTCTCATTTGAAAAATAGAAGTTTGTATAGCCACAGGATACTCTTTAATAGTAATACAAAGAATATCAGGAATTTGAGTATATGGTGTTTAGGTATACTTAAAAGTTCTAAAAATCAGAATTTCAATAAATGTATTTTTAAAGGAAGAAATTTGGTGAGCATTTTCTCACCTATATGTCAGGTAAATTTTGTATTTCACTATGGGGCCGCTTAAAAAACTGATCCATGGGCCTTTGGTGTGCCAGGCCGACACTGGTAATCAGTAGGACTCTTAGTAAGTAAGCCACAAGTTTTTTAAGATATTTGACATATAGTCGATTTTCTAGTTGATTGCGCATGTTATTTCATAAAAATATTCGCTTATAACGACCTTTAAGGGAACCAAGAAAATAAGATCGTTATATCCGAATGACTAAACATACTACACGTGAGATTTAAAACCAATCAAGTACATTGCTGGGAATCGTTGTACATGGGACATCGACGTATCGTTATATACTTATATAAAGCATCGTAATTCGTAACACAGAATAATACAATGTTCGTAATAAACGTCTTGTACTATATTTAGATTTTATGCGTTTCAAATAGTACATGGTAGCACCACGGAAACAATGTTATCACTTACCGCTACCACTACCCCATCCCCCGCCACGCCGTACGAAATCTGTCGTCGAGACGAAACATGTACAACAGGCATGAACAATAATTCGTATATATGTAAATAAACACTGCACTTGGTTGACGTTGTGCCGTTTTGTGACCAATAATACCCGGGGCGGCTCGTCACAGGAGAGTCCGATACCGCTAGATAAATTATAATTATCAAAAAATAAAAATGTATATAAGTAATTG